GTCATTTTTACCGTCTATCACAAATTCTAACCCTGCGCTTCTTCCCTAAAAGAGTAAGAGGTACTAGTAACACAGGTTCCTCTCTTAATATGTCTGCTAAGTTCGTAGTCGACAAATTTGGAATTTCTTTTTAAAAACAAAGTGTTGTTTTTATTCTTGTTTAAGGCAGTTGATCACAATCATATGGCTCAGTGTTTTTCAGTTGTTTATATACATACATACATACATACATACATATATATGTATGTGTATATATATATATATATATTAACTCTAGTTGGCGTGTAGAGTGGTATGTTGCTTGCACCAATCAGATTTCCGCATTAGGATATCGCGGTATCTCGCGTGTAATTGTGGCCTTCGTAAGAGCCCTCGTCGATTGAGGTCGAGATTATTCGGGATATGTGTGAGTTTAGATTAATTGAGCTTTTTCTCTTTCTCTTAAAGTGAAGTAATGCGATATTTTCGTTCTTTTGAAAGTTATGAAAACATCTCGACCTATCCAGCTAAAAAAATAACTCTTGCATGGTACGCATGCCCGTTTTAATTCCATTCCCAGATCCAGGGGAGGCAAAATTGTTCGAACAGAATTAAGAGACAAAATGATTCAAGAAACAAACGAACTGGTACAGAATCCAGGAAGAAAAGTAGTTTTCTTCAGAGAGAAACTCTTTACCACGAAACAATGACACTGTTCTGGAGGAAAAACCTGAACATGTTACGCGATCAGAAAGCTGTGTTACATCATGAAAGGAACTCGTGCTTTTATACATGAGGGATAAGCGATACCGCTGGATGTTGTTGATAAATCGTGACCTTAAAGGCCATATTCATTTGGGGCTTCAGTCGGAAATTTAGTGGTTCCCATTTATACTGTGACCGCTGTTTCTTTGGGGATTGGTTGTTTTGTTAAAGATTACAATACAGCATAGCCTTTTTGATATCATTTTATTCTTTATTGATATCGTGGTACAATCTTCTTCAAGGCTTTTACGCGCTTTTGCAGTGAAGCTCACTTAAGCAGAAACGCTCCAAAGTAAGAGTGAGCAGTCGCCATGTAAAGTGTGACAGATGTCGCGGTTTGTAACTCTATGGTGTCACCAGCCTCAAGATAAAACGCTCCCCCTGCATAGTGGGGTCCTTCTGGTACGTTGTCGGGATGTTGAAGCATGGTGATAAGTTCGTGGTGATTCTTGAGAATCAGCACTCTCCCGCTGCTGCGAAAGTACAGTTGTGCGTAGACATAATATTTTCCATCTCGAGGCACACTCAGACGTCCATGACTGTACGTCATGCCGTCCTCGAGACGGCTGTGCACATTTCCCGCATCCCAGTCTGTAATCGCTGTAAGGAAATTTTCGAGTTGAATATTAGTAAAACTGAGAAAGCCGTTGAAGCAACAAGAAAAGATTGAAACAACCTTGCCCAACCGACCTTGCCCA